ATATCTTTGCTGTCTTCTAGTGGCCAACTGGATTTTTACAGCCTGACTATAGTACCTTTAATGTAAATAAAATGTATTGTTGCCCAAAACAGAAGATGGTATATTGCAATGATGAAAGATACTAAATATGCAGTTTAGAACTGTATTATGGACTCTTGAACTGTCTGCACTTTTTCTTGCAGAGATTTTACTGTCAGTGTAAAAAAACCATCAACACTTCTTGGCTGTTTATAAATAGTAGCTTATTCCTACCAGCAGGGTATTGTTGCTTATTTGATTTATATCACTTTATTTAGGTTTGGTTTTGTGTGTGTGTAATAAGGGATGAAGTTATCGTGGCTGTTTTCCCTTTGTTTTAATTATGTACCTTTTGAATGATTTATAAATGAAATTTATTTCTACATGTTTATTGATGGTAATTTGTCAAAGTATAAGCTTTTATGAATCATCTTGCATTTCTAGGCCTAATTTCTAAAATGTGTAGTTTCCAGGTGAAATTATTCACATTTTGAATCAAGCTAGTAGAGTAAGTCACTTGTATAAACAGGTAACAAACCTCCATTTCCATATCAACAATAAAACAATTGCAAGAAGAAAACCAATCTGAGGAATCTAGAAAAATATAGGTGGATGAATACATGATATTACAGATTAGTATACTTTCATTTTTTTGTTCTTGTTCATTTCTGTATGCATTTAATAATTACATTCTTAGGATTTGCCAAGAAAGTTCATCCTTCCCTATAATAATGGCAGTTTGATTGTACATTGTATTGTACATTTGTTTTTGTGTTGTACATTGATTGTACATTTGATTGTACCTCCTAGTAGCTCTTGAACACATGTGGTATACATTAGCAGTTAGGGAGAAATCCCACCCAATTAATGTGAAGCCAACTAATGTATTTGAGAAGCCCTCCCCAATTAATAATAATTTTCTGCTCAATTTCAATATGTCAAGTAAAGTCCCTTTAAAAATTGAAGAATTAATTTTTAAATTAATACACTCACCTTGTGGTAGTTAGCAAAAAAATTTGGGTAGCAAAATTCAGTGTTTTCATCTTTATGGAAATGTAAAGTTTATAAGTCATTGAGTGGGAAACTCATGCCACACATATGCTTACAGGAAACTGATACCTACAAGGAATTTTTATGCAAGGATTTGCATAAAAAGCAGGTTATGACTATATATATATATATATATATATATATATATANCTGGTGATTGGCCCAAAGTCACCCAGGTGACTTTCATGCTTAAGGTAGAACTAGAACTCACAATCTCCTAGTGATTGGCCCAGTCACCCAGCCAACTTTCATGCTTAAAGTAGAACTAGAACTCACAATCTCCTGGTGATTGGCCCAAAGTCACCCAGGTGACTTTCATGCTTAAGGTAGAACTAGAACTCACAATCTCCTAGTGATTGGCCCAAAGTCACCTGGCTTAAGGCAGAACTAGAATTCACAATCTCCTAGTGATTGGCCTAAAGTCACCCAGCTGGCTTTTATGTCCAAGCGGGACTAGAACTTCCAGCCGACCTCACTCGTCAAAGCAAGTGAAAAATCCATGCAGGCTGGATGTGAATGTGCCTTCCTATTATATTATATTGCCGTACTCCAGATCATTTTTCCTCGTTCACAAATGGTTACTCATGGCCGATGGCTTAATTTGACAAGGACTCTGGGTTGTAGACCCATTCAACTCACATACAGTATCTCCTTCGCTCCAGAAGGCCAAAGGGGGAAAAAAATTCTCCCATAACCCACCTCTCCTCTTACGGCTTCCTTTCCCCCTTCTCCTGCCCCTGCCCCTTCGTCCAGAGCCCCCGCCGCGGGGCCTACGCTTCCTCATCCAGCGACAGTTTCTACTGCTGCTTCTGCTGCGGTGGAATCGTGCCATGATGTTGGTGTGGTCTAGGCATTCAAGCCATGGGAGAGGGGAGTGGGAGCATCCAAATTGTTGAAGCAGCCTTTCAGGGACCAGGCTGACTTCCCAGCCTCTTTATGGGCAAGCTGCGCATTGTGATGCAGGATGACACAAGGGGTTTCTATGGAAACGCCTGCCCAGGTACTTTGATGTCTTATAAGGCAGTGGTCTCCAACCTTGGCAACTTTAAGACCTGTGGACTTCAACTCCCAGAGTTCCTTGCTGGCTGAGGAATTCTGGGAGTTGAAGTCCACAAGTCTTAAAGTTGCCAATGGTTGGAGACCACTGCTGTAAGGGGCCTTAAACCATCTAAATTAAAACCATGGCTGTCCAACCTTGCCGACTTTAAGACCTGTGGACTTCAACTCCCAGAATTCCCCAGCTTGCGATGGTGCAGTGGTTAGAGTGCAGCACTGCAGGCTGCTTCTGCTGGCTGCCTGCAATTCGGCAGTTCGAATCTCACCAGGCTTGGATTGGATTGGATTTGGATTTATTACATTTATATGCCGCCCTTTTCCCCGAAGGGGACTCAGGGCAGCTCACAATTCAGTCAGGGAAAGGGGTACAGACANAGATAGATAGATAGATAGATAGATAGATAGATAGATAGATAGATAGATAGATAGATAGATAGATATTCTGTAATTTTTAGGTTTTGTAAATTATATTTCCCTTGTATATATTAGTTCAGACTATAGTGTTAGTACAGATATCTTCGTGTTTAAAATAAACTTTCCCATTCGTGTAAGTGTGTCTGTACAGCATGTCAGGTTTTATTGCAGGATTGTTTTTGCTCTTGTGATGCTGAAAACATTGAAGAGGAAAGTTGCCTCAATTGGAACAAGAGTTTTCGGTCGTGCTGAGTCCCACTGAAATTTAGTGTCTCCTCCTCCTCCTCCTTCCCTTTCCTCTACAACCTGCATGATGAAAAACAATAAGACACAATTTTTTTTTCTTAATACTATAACTCTTTCTCTATTAATTACACTTTGTCCCTACTTGGGGGAAAAAGAGATCAACATTTTATTTCAAGGGCCAAATTAATAGCCAGATGCCCAGGAAAAGGAATCAGGTTTCAAGAATTGATATTTTTATATATCTAGTCCAATCTGCACAGGTAAAATTTGTTTATAAAAATTGACCCCTTGGTTTCCAGGGTCCTTGGGAGAATCCACAAAAGAACATTTATAACATTTATGAATATTTCATTCATAAATGAAATATTTTCCTGGTAGCAAAAAAAATGGTGGTTTTTTTAAGCCTAGGGTTACAGGCGGGACTAGAACTCCCCTAGTGATTAGCCGAAATTCACCTAGCCGGCTTTCATGCTTAAGGTGGGACTAGAATTCACAGTCTCCTGGTGACTGGCCCAAAGTCACCCAGCTGACTTTCATGCTTAAGGCAGAACTAGAACTCACAATCTCCCAGTGATTGGCCCAAAGTCACCCAGTTGGCTTTCATGCTTAAGGCGGAACTAGAACTCATAATCTCCTAGTGATTGGCCCAAAGTCATCCAGCTGACTTTCATGCTTAAGGTGGAACTAGAACTCACAATCTCCTAGTGATTGGCCCAAAGTCACCCAGCCGACTTTCACGCTTAAGGCAGAACTAGAATTCACAATCTCCTAGTGATTGCCCAAAGTCACCCAGGTGACTTTCATGCTTAAGGCGGAACTAGAACTCACAATCTCCTAGTGATTGGCCCAAAGTCACCCAGGTGACTTTCATGCTTAAGACGGAACTAGAACTCACAATCTCCTAGTGATTGGCCCAAAGTCACCCAGGTGACTTTCATGCTTAAGGCGGAACTAGAACTCACAATCTCCTAGTGATTGGCCCAAAGTCACCTGGCTGACTTTCATGCTTAAGAGGGAACTAGAACTCACAATCTCCTAGTGATTGGCCCAAAGTCAACTAGCCGACTTTCATG